ATTAATATAAAAATTGATATTCATAATTTATATTAATTGAACTTTCAATCCAATAATTAATTTTTAAGAATATTAATTAAAATATAAAGTTCTAGATAGGTTCTTAAAAAAGAAAATTTAGAGCACTACCAACCAAACACTAACTTTGTTTTTCTCTTCTTAATAAAATCATAAGAACTCTGTATCCCAAAGTTATCAAGTTAATTTTCAATTTTGTTTTATTTTTATGTTTTGACCAACTAATAACCAATAATCATCGCTCTAATCTAGTTCTTTTTATTACTTCAATTAATGAATTAAGTATTTCATTATTTTTAATTTGAATTGCATAATAACAAATGACTTATAGTTATTACTTTAATCATTACTCCCTCAGGACATAACTTTTGTCAAATTAGGTTCCAAACTCTGCTTGCTAATTTACTTGAAAGAGCTTACATGTAAGACTTTTTATTGCAATTCCAAACAGGAAACAATAAGAAGAGCAGTTTAGAAATGACAACTATAAAATGGCTACATTCTTGAATGCATTGCTTCATGCCTTGGATAGATGATCGACTATAAAATAGTAGCTAGAAGTGAAGCACATCTCAATGTAATAAAACCACGCCCGTCTCCAATAAGGATTTATGTAAAGAACTGCAGCAATAGTCATGAGCACCATTATGTAAGACACAATTAAACTCACATAGAAGACACCCATATCAATGAAACCATCATCTTCTCTGCCCTTGGTTGGACCTTCCTGGATCATTGGTGGTGGACTTGTTGTTGAGCAACTTTTCAATGGTTCCCCACAAAGCAGGGGATTACCTTGGTAACAACTTCCATTAAATGTTGCAAATTGTCGGATCCTTGCTGGTGTCTTACCTGATAAGTTGTTGTATGCCACGCTAAAGGTAGATAAGAAATATAAGTCAACAAGCTCGGGAGGAATTTCCCCACTCAAATTGTTGTAGGAAAGATCCAAGCTCTCGATTTGCTCAAGGTTAGAAAATGTAGATGGGATTCCACCAACCAAGAAATTATGAGACAGGTTTAGTACGTGAATCTTACTAAGGTGCCCTATTTCATAAGGAATTTCACCAGTCAATTTGTTGCAGGAAAGGTCTATTCCAGACATGTAGGTGAGAAGTCTTCCCTTGTAAGAATATGCCATATACTTTGTTGTGAAAGGCACTGGTTCACCAACAGAAAGTGTATCCTTGAAAAGTAGTGTAAACAATAGACCATAGATAAGAAGAACTTGATTATCCTCATTATATAGCTCATTAGTAGTAAGATTTAGGCAAGAGGGTATATGGCCTGAAAGATGGTTTTGAGATAGATCAATCAAGCTCAATTTCTGCAACGTGCATAGCTGAAATGGGATCTTACCTTCAAGATTATTGTTCTTCAAGATAAGATAACTCAACTCACCAAGCATATTGATGCAATCTGGGATGTTACCACTTAGCTGGTTGTCACTAAGGTCTAGCGTTACTAGAGAAGAGCTCTTACAAAACTGTGTTGTCAGTGATCCTTCTAGCCTATTTTTGGATAAATGAACATGAATTATATACCCTGGGCCGAAACAAGATGGTAGCCTCCCCGAAATATTGTTATTTGAAAGGTCTAGAATTAGAAGAAATTGAAGCTGACAAAAGTCGATAGGAATTGGACCTTCAAGACCATTATTGGACATGATAATTTCTCGCATGTATGAAATATTTCCCATCCAGCTTGGGATCCTACCAGAGAGATTGTTATTGCTGAAATCTATTGAAGCCAGATGGGGGCAATTAGATAAGCTTTTTGGGATACTTCCAGAAAAGTGATTGCCATTCAACTGTAATACCACCAACTGGAATAAGCTAAATTTCTCTGAGAAAATCTGGCCTTGTAGATTGTTGTTTGACAGAATAAGTGAAATTAATGATGAGCAACCCATGGTTAACTTCTTAGGTATTTCACCAGATAAGTTATTGTGAGATAAGTCCAAAGATAGCAGCGACTTCATATCACCAATTGAAGGAGGAATGCTGCCAGTAAGAGAATTTTCTGAAATGTATAAACCTTCTAAACTTGGCAAAGATGCTCCGATCTCCATTGGAATATGGCCGTCCAAGAAATTTTTGGAGATATCTAGATCTTTCAAACTCATACTCATATGAGAATGAGCTGGCAACTTAATAGGTCCAGAGAGAGAATTGTTAACCAGCGAAAGTGTCTTCAACCTTGTGTTGTTTTCCAACAACCAAATGGGAAACTCTCCAGTTAGGTTAAGGTGCGAGAGGTCTAAATACTCCAGGTCGTGTTGAGAGTAGAGGAAGTTTGGAATTGCTCCACAATCTCCACAACCAGACATAGTTAAGGTATTTAGTTGGAAAGTTGGTTCCAAAGATTCAATGTTGGTATCTATGTAAAATTCATTATTTTCAACATAAATCTGCTTGAGTTTTGAATGGTTGAAGAATGGTTGAAGGGAGAAAGGAATTCGGAAGTGATATGTCTGAAAGGGACAAGTAATTAAGAGATGTCAATTTGTTAAGGGGTGATAGAGCTATATCTCCAAAAAATTTGTTTGAATTGAGACTTAAGCTCAGGAGAGAAGTCAAATTTGACAAACATGAAGGCAGGGCTCCCTCTAAATAAGTGTCCTTAACTTCCAACTCTTCAAGATGTGTCAATTCACACAGGCCTGTGAACATATACGACACTTACAAACTTAGTCATATAGCTCCAAATATATATATATACATACATATAAATATATAGAGGGAAAATGGTAAAATCTGAACATTGATTCTTATTTCTTTAAATTTGTAAATAACCTTGGAGTGTTAAGGAGTCATTGAGTTCGCAGCCATACAGTCCTAGAACCTTGAGAGAAGCCAATGCTCCAATGCCATGAAAGAAGTTGGTTGGGAGGATAGAATTATCCAGAAACAACTCTTCCACTTTGGACAAGTTATGAAAACCTAATAAGAAAAGCAATTAATTACATTCTTGCAATCTTCCGTCATAATTAATAAATTAGAGCAAGAACATATATTTCTAAGAAAAATATTCTAAGAAGTTGGAAAAGAAATTACACTAAAGATGAAAATTTACTATAAAAATTTTTAGACCAATAAAATAGAACAAGATGGCACATTTTTGAAAGGAAAAATTATTATTGTAATAATAAAATGGAGATAAAGCAAGCTTACCTCTTTTACTCGGGTTCATTTTTATTTCACCATGTCCTAGGGATAGAGCTTTTAAAGATGGAAGACTTGCCAAAGATGATAGGATGTTGTAGCTGAAGTTTATTCTTCCACTTAGGTCAAGCACCTCCAAATGGTCAAGTTTTGACAGCTTTTCTAAATCAGCTGTAACAAATTAACAATCAAAGCTTGTTGTACACCAGCATCTAAATTTGCTAAGCATATAACATAAAATTAAAACTGTATCATAGTTTGAAGCTAGTAAGTTGTTCTGGTTACCACTCATGGATGATAAGACACTATTGTCCAACTTACTGTGATTTAGATCGAGGATTTGCATGTTTTCTCGACATAGAAAAGGCTCTCAAAACTTGCAATACATATAATTATTTATTCAGTTTTGAAGTCACATATATATTAAGATGAAACAATAAGGAAATGGGTTCTATAAGAGAGGGGGGCATCTATACCATCAGCATGGCTGGATGCTTGAAATTCGTCTTCGGCAAGATATAAAAACTTGAGAGATGGAAGCTCACTCAAAGATGATAAGATACTATTATTGGTCAACATATTATAACTTATATCGAGGAATTCCAATTTTCTTAATTTAGAAAACTTCTCGAAACCTGCAATACACACAATTACAAATTCAATTTTGGAGCCACATATATATTAAGATAAAACAATAAGGAAATAGGTTTCCATAAGTAAAAGGTGGATATCTGTACCATTAACATGGTTGGATGCTTGGAGTTTGTTGCGAGCTAGATTTATAGACTTGAGAGATAAAAGCTTGGTCAAATACAATAAAATGCTGTTATTGAAGAAATTTCCTTCCAAGTTAAGGATTTCCAAATGGCTCAACATCGTTGGATGCTTAAGAAACCCTGCAAGTAGAGCACAAGAATTGTACTTTTGGTTCAATTAAAGAAATAACACAAATAAAATGTAAGATAAGACAACAAGAATGAGATGAATATACCAATCATATATATATTAAAATGCTCGATTGTTGATAATCACAATATTAACTAAGTTGAACAGTAGATAAAAGCCTTCATTTTCACTATGCAATTTGCTATTCAATTAGAATTCAAAGTGAGACTTCAATAGAAGAAACAAAGAGGCATTCAGATACTTATCAGTGAAACTACTATTATATGCTTTAGCCTGTGTGAAAGTAGGGATGAATGAGATGACTAGTCTTGTGGTGAAAGTTGCAATCAACCTTCTTCCACTGACAATAATCTGTATTTTTGCTCTCCTCACTCAGTTTCTTGGAGAAAAAATAGAATTAAAGGCACGTTTGAGTTGAAGAGCAATTCACTATCGGTCCCAACACCCTTGGCACCACTGCCCATCTACTAAGAAGAGTGTAAGCAGCACATACATAAACCATTTCAACTCCATCAAAATAAGCTAAGATCAACCGCCAAGTACTGCTACTATATATCTCTGGGCCATTACCAGCAATTCACTTTAGACTTTTATATACACAAGCAAGCATCTATTCCATGATTCCATTTTTTGTCATAAATGGGTTCGACACATTCTTAATTCAACTTAGTAGTTTCCACTTTCCACAACAATTATATGTTTCCTTCTTCTTTCTCTTTAATTCCTTATTTCATTAAAAATATATTAAAAAAAGATCATAACAAATTGGCTTTTATTGAGATGAGATTATCAAGGGAAGGAAGAATTTATACCTTCATTACTAATAAATGGATTAATTATATTGAAATAAAAATCAAAATGGTAATTGAAATTATTGACTTTAACGTCTTAGCATAAAACATAAAGTCAAAACTATACCATAGTTTGATGCTAATAAGCTGCTCCTGCCTAGATTTAGAGACTTGAGAGATGGAAGCTCACTCAAAAATGTTAAGGTACTATTGTTCAATTGATTGTTATATAGATCAAGAATTTCTAGATTCCTTAACTTAGAAAGCTTCTCAAAACCTGCAAAATATACAATTATTAATATAATTTTGGAGACACATAAACATTAAGATGAAACAATAAGGAAACAAGTTTTTATATGTAAAAAATGGACAATTATACCGTCAACATGGTTGGATGCTTGGAAATTGTTGTTGCTTAGATATAGGGACTTGAGACATGGAAGCTCACTCAAAAATGTTAAGATACTATTATTGTTCAATTGATTATTATATAGATCAAGAATTTCTAGATTCTTTAACTTAGAAAGCTTCTCGAAACCTGCAAAATGTACATTATTAATTTAATTTTGGAGCCATACATAAATATTAAGATGAAATAATAAGGAAACAAGTTTTTATAAGTACAAAATGGACAATTATACCATCCGCATGGTTAGATGCTTGGAAATTGTTGTTGCCTAGATATAGGGACTTGAGAGATGGAAGCTCACTCAAAAATGTTAAGATACTATTGTTCAATTGATTGTTATGTAGATCAAGAATTTCTAGATTTCTTAACTTAGAAAGCTTCTCGAAACCTGCAAAATGTATGATTATTAATTTAATATTAAGATGAAATAATAAGGAAACAGGTTTCTATTAAGTAAAAAATGGACGATTATACCGTCAGCATGGTTAGATGCTTGGAAATTGTTGTAGCCTAGATATAGGGACTTGAGAGATGGAAGCTCACTCAAAATTGTTAAGATGCTATTGTTCAATTTATTGTCATGTAGATCAAGAATTTCTAGATTCTTTAACTTAGAAAGCTTCTTGAAACCTGCAAAATGTACAATTATTAATTTAATTTTGGAGCCACACAAATATTAAGGTGAAACAATAAGGGAACAAGAATCTATAACTAAAAATGGACAATTATACCATCAACTTGGTTAGATGCTTGGAAATTGTTGTTGGCTAGATATAGAGACTTGAGAAAGGGAAGCTTATGTAGAGATGATAAGATACTATTGTTCAATTGATTGCCATTTAGATCAATAATTTCCAAATTCCTCAACTTAGAAAGCTTCTCCAAACCTGCAATATGTAAAATTATTAATTTAATTTTGGAGCCACACATAAATATTAAGATAAAACAATAATGGAACAAGTTTCTATAAGTAAAAAATGTACAATTATACTATCAGCATGGTTAGATGCTTGGAATTTGTTATTGGCTAAATATAGGCACTTGAGGGATGAAACCTCACTAAAAGATGATAGGACACCATTGTTCAATTGATTGCTTTTTAGATTAAGAATTTCCAAATTCCTCAACTTAGAAAGCCTCTCAAAACTTGCAAAACAATTTCTTGCAACATTCAAGCTAATTACCAATTCAGTTTTGGGAGCCACAAATATAAAAATTTCAAACTACACCAAAAAATAATAAAGATGAAATGATAAACAATGGTTTTTTTTTTTTTAAAGTAAAAGATGAAATTAAGTTGAAAGACAGATTAAAACCTTCATTTTCCATGCAACCAGCTATTCCATTTCCAGCCAAATGGAGACTCTTCAATTCCACAAATGGAAGAAACAAAGACGCATTTAGATACATGACATTCTCCGATTCCATAAACCTATTCGGTATATACAAGTAACCATCAAATATTTCTTCGAACCATGAGTAATTGAGATTGAGTGTTATGACTCGTCCAGAAGTAGAGTTGCACTCAATCCCCTCCCATCGACAACAATTTGAATTTCGCTCTCCCCTCTCCCAGTTTTTTAGGTGCACAGGTTTAGTGAAGAAAGGTTTGAGTTGGAGGAGAGCAGTCCTCTCTTGGTCCCAACACCCCTGGCACCACAGCCCTTCTAATAAGAAGAGTATAAATAACACATAAATTAACCATTTCGACTCCATCAAAATATTCTCAGATCAACCACCAATTAAGTACTGCTACTGTCTCCTTGCATTACCAGCAACACACCTTAAACCTTTATATACACAAGCAAGCAAAAGCAACTTGTCCATTACTCCGAGTTGTGTCATAAATGGGTCCCGCATATTATTAATTGATTCAATTCAGCAGTTTTCACTTTCCACAACAATTATATGTATCCTTTTTCTTTCTTTCTTTTATTAGCAAAAATTAATTTATTAAGAAGGTACAAAGGGTATCTCAAACCCATTACATCTACTAATTATAGAACCATATAAAAAACAAGCTTGTAATTACATAATACAAGCATTTAGACTAAAGTTTATTTAATAGTCATAACTCAGTCAAAAGGATTATTTTCCCATTCATAAAATCTGGAGATAAAGCCCTTAGCCCTTCCATTTTCTTTGTCTTTTATTCTTTATTTCATTAAAAGAGAATTTAAAAAAAAAAAAAGATTGTAACAAATTGGTTT